AAATTTTCGGAGTTTCACATTGTTATTACACATTCAGATATAACTTCTAAGTAAATCCAGCTTGAATACTTCCTCGGAAAACATTGCTCCAACAGAAAATCATGGGAAAATTGATTTCGAATTTGAGGCTCAATTCCTGAACCAAGTCAAAACTTTTTCAGATTTCTGGATGTCGACCTTTCCGCACATCCTCGTCAGGTCATGATCTCTGCTCCTTTTATTGTGTTCGCCTGTTCTAGAAAGGTGATATCTTGAGCTTGCGACCATTTTGAAATCAATAGCTTTTCATTGTCATTTTTCAATCATTGTTCAGCTGATGACTTCTGCTATGATTACATCCCTGGCAGAGAACACTCGACGACCATCATCACGGGATCCTCATGTATGGTTCCGTGTGGCCGTTCACAGCCGTCTGTCACAAAATTTACAGGTAATTACCCCTAAAATAGGGGAAAAGATACCTAGCAATTGCAAGGAGAGTAGGTGTGCGAAAATAAAGAAGGAATAGTTTTCCAGATGACAGTCTGAACTCTGAAAGGAGCGCAAGTGTAAGAGCAGAGCGTTGTAGGTGGTGCTCCATGTCAGGGATTCTGTGTGACACGAAGATATTACCTTTCAACTCCAAAACCAAGCGGAAGTGGTGTAGTGGCAAGTGGCACGCTTGCCGGTCCGCGGATTAAATCCTGGATCGGCTCCCGTTCAGGCCAATCAAGCCTTCTACCCTCCGAAGACGGTAAATTGGTACCAATTCGTCCAGGAAGAAAGAACACTGACTTGTACTTGCCCGCGCAAGTCATCGTATGGGCTACGTAGCATCCAATAAGCCGATTGTGAATGGAAGTAGCCGCATACCGAATAGGACCTTTACCCAAAAAACAGCGAGGCCCGCGACGGGACTATGTGGTGCAGCTTCTGGCCCATGGCCAAGGATGTTGAAGCCTGCATCAGCGTTATAGATTGAAAATGTTGGGGACGGCAGGGGGTCTCCGTTTGGACCAGTTGTGTGACAAATGTTATAACCAGTTGTGTGACAATGTTATAAGCAAATGTTCGACATAGCTCCTATAGCGTCTCAGAATATCTGCGACGCTTTCCTCCGTCTTCCTCTTTCCTTCCTCCTTCCTTCTTTTCATTCCTTCTCTCTTCCCCCTTCTTTATTTCCCTCATTTGAAATGCACGGCTAGTAGACCCGATGGGAAAATACCTCTGTATCCTCGCAGCGGAAGGTTATCCGGTGTCCAGTACTGTATCCCTCCTGTAGATGATGAGCGAAGCCGTGCAACCCTTTTACAGCTGATGAAATCCGCGAAGCGCATCTTCGACGCTACGGTCATGTGCACTGTGTACCATATTTACGTGCGCAGTTTTACAGCCAATGATTTCCTCAATTTCTGTAATGATAACAACACAAGTAGGACTGTTGAGTAATCCATCTACTATCAATGACCTTTTGTAAGAGCAACACCTGTCAGTTCGGTTCTCACAAAAAAGTTTGAAAGTGGGTCGTGTCGTCGTACACAGCAATTCAAGAAGTCGCTAAGAAAAGTTGAAAAACTAGGAATAACGATGAACCCAGCACCATTCAAAAGCGGGTACAGGCCTTATCCCTTCCTACACCCTCACCCTTTTGCAGTGATGGTTTTATGGACTCCTAACTTTGGCGTGCTCTGTTTTTCGCGCGGGGTTAGTACAGTAGGACTGGCTCAGATGACCTCGCAAGCAGAATGGCTTCACACGCTGCATGATTACTTGAACCTGGCACAGCGATCTTAGACAGCCTCGCAAGTCTTTGTATGGCAAGGCACTCAAGCGCCAATGAGATTCTGAGAGGAACTGGAATGTTTGATCAGGTGAAAACTAGAAGTCCTTGTTACTAATAAAGGACCTCATTCAGATCGAAGTCGCACCAACATCTGGTGAAAAATGGTCGTCTTCTGTTCGGAAAGCTGCCTCACCCTTCGATCCAAACCTCGTTTTTGTACAGGTGCTTCCATAAGAAGGTCGATGTCACTGAAATAAGTTGGGGCGTGTCAGAGGGGCTCGGCCCCGGCAGGCGGATCTACGGAAATGACTGGACCTCGCAAAAAATCGCGCCCATTTGACGCGCCCGACTCTTTAGTGATGACGCGGGTACATATGTTTGCATTTTTTAATATTGTGGAGCAGATGTTCCAGGATCACCTGAATAGCAAGGGTTGGTGGTGTTCGCTGAGGTCAGCATACTTGAGATGTGCAGAATTCATAATGCTCAATCAGTGCACAAGGGTGAGTTTTCTTTTCAGCTCGCCAAAAGTACTTCTTACAGCTCAGGTGAGGAGGGGGTATGCAATAAGCGAATACTGTAGCGTACATTGACCCTGGGTCCGATGGAAAGATAGCACAACCCCTAGAGGCCAGTGCTCGGCAAACGTCCCTCGCCATTGGGAGTCTGGGCAACGGGTAATAATGAGAAACAGTGTGTTAAATGTACCCCCCCCCCTACACGCCCCACTATCCGCAGCAAACAAACTGTACATTAACCAAGGCAGTGCTAGAGGCGTTATAACACAGGCTCATAGACGTGTTCCGAAATTGGGTAATTGAACGGGAGCTCTGTATATGTCCAATTCTATACGTTCGCGAGACCTATGCATTTGGAATTTACGCGCAGTTTTGGGATACGGTATGCCCCCACTTATCTAAACTTATAATCTTGTCATCCAGAAGGACGGCTCTACACATGAGTGTAACGGATCTGTTGACTTACATTCTGAACCGGCTCGTTCCCAAGAAGACGTCTTCACCACGGATCAAGCAGCTCTCCATCTGCTTGGATGGGATATGCGTGGTCATCCGGCTCAATGGCGTCACAAAGTACCGTATCTTTCATTTACCTGTTAGTTAGCTCGGTGCCGTCGTTGCGATTTTCGAGAATCTCATAGCACATGTCGTCGTTATTTTATCATTTCGAATTTTGAGTGCATTTTTCTTTGATCTTCATAGTGACGTCGTTCGGACCGTTCATACTTTTCAACAGGGAGTGGAACTCTCGCTGCCTCGGAAGTGTTAGTGTAGCCATTTCCAAATATGGAAAAGAACCACCTAAGTTTTATTTTGACGCTCGCCACATTTTTTCTCATGCACAGATTTGACCCGTTTATCCTGCCGTGTATTGTCTAATGTGTCAACTCACTCTCGGGTATTTTGTTATTCACAGATGTTCATACAATAAAATTCATATTTGAAAGTCTACAATAAGGTCCGACGTAGTTCGTCTTGGGGGAGAGAAGCATTTTGCCCTTTCGCTACTTCCCATCGACGTAGCGAAGTTTGTAAAGACTACCTGGCAGCTATTGTAAAGCGATGAACACGTCAATGGGAAGTAAGGAAGGTGAAAAATGCCCCCTCTACCTCCAGCCGAATTGCGTCTGTGATCCTCATGACGCAACGTTTATCCCTTCGCGAGGCGACAGAAAATACAACGCTTGACCCTTCTGAAGCCAATATTTAGTTCCAGAGTATAGTAGTTTTATTATTATTTGTTCATTTATTCGAAAATTCTCACTCATTTTTTGTTCCTGTGTTCGAAATAAAGCCACCAAAGTTCTCCTCCGTGGGCAGAATTGGCTGGAATTTTGTCCTTACTCGTAGTTTCACACGTGAGCAAGCATATCAGGTCCTCTTGGCAATACCAGGATCGCCTGGTGTCGGCGTAAAATTGCATTAAATGGCTAAATTTGCTAGAAATTTACGCCCCCACACGCCAGCGTCCCATGAGGACTCCCTAAGGGTTTCCAAACTACAGTGCTCCGAATTGGTTCGAAGTGTGGTCGTTGTGTCCCCCATTCATGCTACTGACACGTTATGCCTCTGAATGAAGGCGAAACCTTGGAAAACTGGACGCGTCATATTCATGGGGTCCTTACTTGGGTCACATTTGAGCCTCTGAGAAAGGGTTTGCTCCAATATGAAAATGTGTTG